GGGCCCACAGTGCTTCAAACCACACCACACCTAAGGGGAAGACTGAGACAGAGTGGGGATGAGGCAAGGGGTGAGTGGGTGCATACCCCAACACAGGACGGGAGAAGTGCCCCAGGAAGCTGTGTTCATTCAACAAGCATTTAGTGAGCACATACTGTGGGCCAGGCCCGGTACAAAGATCCCTGCCCTCCTGGAGCCTTAGTGACCGACTGTAAACGTGACAAAGTAGAACGTGTTCCCCGACAGCGAGATATTCCCAGAAGAAAAATAAAGCAGAGAAGTGAGATCAGAGGTGGAGATTTATAACAGCAAAAAAATTGGTGCTCAGGAGTAAGTCTAATGCAAGAAATCCAGGATTTGCAGGTGGAAAGTTGCTAAGCTGTTGAAAAACATTACAGTTGGAGAGCGTAGGTTGAGTGGTGGTTTCGTGGATATTCATCATTATGGTCTATGAATAGATGTTACCCGTATCTCTTGCATTTAGTGTGTTATATAGATAAAATGGAGTCCTGGTGGCACAGCGGTTAAGAGCTCAGCTGCTAACCAAAGGGTGAGCAGTTTGAATCCACCAGCTGCTCCTTGGAAACCCTTTGAGGCAGTTCTCTGTCCTGTAGGGTCGCTATGAGTCAGAATCAACTTGACGGCAACAGGTTGTTTTTTTTTTTTTTTTAAATAAGATTATCATCTAAAAAATTTTTTTTGATCTTTGACAGAAGTTACGGAAAACCTGAGGTGATACTGAAGCAAAGACTTGAAAGAGGGAGTAAGTTGTGAACATGTGGGGTAAGAGCATGCCACAGAGGGGACAGCGAGTGCAAAGGCCCTGAGGTAGGGGTGTGCTGGTGTAAAGTTTACTTAACAGTGAGGAGACCTGGACCACAGTGAGGGGGCGAGAAGAGGACAAGAAGTCACAGCAGATCATGGAGGGCCTTGGTGAGAACTTGACTCTTACTAGGTTATTAGGAGACTGTTGAACAGCCTGGTGCATGACCACACACACTCCAGGGAGGGTGTGTGTGTGAGATACACAGCCACCGCTGTGCGCAAAAGACAGTGGGGGTACACCTCGTCCCAACAGGATAGCATGACCCACCATCCTACAACCACAGTGCCTCCAGGGACCCTGTCCCAGTGGCAGCCCCACAAACAAACCCTCCGAGGGAATAATCCAACACCATGAATACAAACCACCCTCTAACCGGTACTTAACTGGCTCTCTCTCACCCCATCACAGACTTTGCCCATTACAGGCTGACTCAGCCCTGCCCTCAGCCCAACACTATCAGAAGCAGCATCTCTGGGCACAGATAAGGCCCTAGTACAGACGCAGCCCAGCTTCTCAGGTGCTGGGGTGTGTGTGTGTCCAGTCTGCCCCCGGAAGCAGACACACCGACAGCGACAGGGAGGGGGCCCCCGCCAGCCACCTCCCCATCACGCGCGCTGCAGACGTCAGCAACCAAGTTCACCAGTTTCACTGCCTTGTGACTGGGCCACAGAAGAACCACTTCCAGACGCTGGCCCACGCTGTTCTAGTGTGCACGCGGTCTGTGACATGAACAGATAAGGCCACAGACACATGTGAACACTGATCACACAGCTGGCGATTACACAGCCACAACCGCACACGCAGACGGGTGCGCTTACCGAGTTGTGTGTGCACAGCCCATCACACCCTCACGCAGCTGAGGCCCACCCATGTGGCACACACACAGTTGTACACAGTTGTACAAGGCTGAGGGCACCTCTGGTCACACCAGAAGGCATACACCCTCACCCAGGCAACTTCAAGGAGTTCCAAACACAGCAACACACTGATGTACAAGTAGGTCTCATTAAGTCACACGTTCTCGTGACTGCCACCTCAAAGCCAGTTGCACAGACAGTTCCCACACCCACAGATGGTTAAAAGTATACACAATATGGTCAACCGCACAGGCATAGGCAGTTTCGCACACTTATTCACACACACACAGAATCACGTCACCTGCACCCCCCACCCCCGCTCTCACACAGCCAGTCATGCCAGGGCACACGCCTTCGCACCTGCAGGACACACACTGTTCACACAACGCCACGCACACGTCGGTTGTCCCCCGCTCCCCCGCACCCCACGCAGCCGCACACCCGGGCGCACACTGCCAGCCGGTCCCTCGGGCACACAGGGCTCACACCCAGTCAATCACGCCGGGCGACCACACGGCCCTGCTCGCCCGCCGCCCGCCCACTCGCCACGGCTCTCACACCCCCGCGTTTCCCGTCCCCGCTTGTTTTTCTGGAAACTCTGCTCCGCTCCCCTCCCCCAGGCCGGAAGTGTTCGCTGTATTTTTAGCCACTCTGGTTTCCGCCCCTTTCCCTCTCCCCCAGCTGCCCAGGACCTGCCCCTCGCGCCGGCGGGGTACCCCGGCCGGCCCCTTCCCCAACATCATTCCAGAGGGAATTCCCGGCCGCCGCTGGGGCCGCGGGTTTTCCCGCTGGCTACGTGGGGAGCGGGGAGGAGTCCTGTGTGAACTTCCTCCTGGGCTGGGACGCCTGAGCCCCGGGGGTGGGGATGGGGGCTGGGAGCCCAGACTCCTGGGTTTGAGCCTGGAGGGGACTGGGGGTCCGAAATCCTGGGTCTGGGGGAGGAGCGGGCTGGAGGCCCGAAGTCCCGGGGCTGGCGGAGGAAGGGGCTGGGAGTCCGGACTTCTGGGTCTGGGGAAGGAGGTTGCTTGAGAACCCGAACTCCTGCGCGAGGAGGGGCTGAGGTCCAGACCCCTGGGTCCCCACAGGTCCGTGTTTGGGGTGGGGGGGGTCGATTTGTCTGCGCGCAAAGCCCCCCCCTTTCAGCTTCTTTGGCCCGTTGCCAAGCGTCCCGGCTCTCTCCGGCCGATGACTCAGCAGATGGAGGAAGGGAGAGGGTCAGCCTGACTCAAGGGTGGGAAATGTTCCTTGTCTCCAGGGAATCGAAACGGGATTCCTACTCTAGGAGGCGGGTCCCGGAGACCCCAGGGTGCCCCCTCCCATGTTTTCCAGCCTTAGCCCTGTGAGCAAGCCTTAGCCCTGTTAGCAAGCCTTAGCCCTGTTAGCGGCACAGGGATTTGGAGCCCTCCTGGGAGGGGGTCCTAGGCACCACTACCCCCTTTCCCGTTGTTTTGTAGTCTGTTTACAGAAGACAGGAGCCCTGGTTACAGGAGAGGAACCCGGGCGTCCGGCCGAGCCTCCTCGTCACGGCTTCCAGGAAGGCCCCCTTCCCCCGCCCCTTGCAAGTGAGTCACGGGCGAGCGGGAGGCCGCAACCGTGCCAGACCCGCCCGCGGCCGCTCAGTTCACGAGACCGGCCTGGGAAGGCCCCTCGGCCCCAGAACGCGCTGCACCAGGGATTCCCCCCGTGCTCCGCCGCGGAGTATGGCACAATCTCCCCACCTCTGTGCGAGCTCGCAGCCGCCGTCTGCAAGAATGAACTTTCCACCATTATAACCACCCTGTGACAACGATTTCTTACCGCCTCACCCCTCCCCATCCCCGTTTTCACCTAGGGCCATACCAGTTGCCATCCAGTGATTCTGCCTGCCCCATAGGGTTTCCAGTGCTTACAGAAGCAGACTGCCACGTTTCTCCTGCCGAGCAGCTGGTGGGTTCGAACCGCCAACCCTTCTGTTAGCAGCCAAGTGCTTAACTGCTGTTCGCAGGGCCATAATCCCCTTAAAGAACATAGTTTCTTTCCAGATCTTAAAAGAGTTTTCACTCAGGGCATCCTCCTGATAATAAGAGACTTGCAAATGTGCGCAATGATCCCCAGCAAAGCTGGAGTTCCTGAGGCGAACAGCTTGATAAACCCCATCCACACATCAGCTGGAGATGAAACATTTCTCCAACCTTGAAACCACTTTCAATCAAGGCAACCCTCCACCATACAAAAAGCTCTCTTTCCTCCTTCTGTCTTCCAGGATTTTTCTCGGAGGGCAAGCTTCTAAACGTAATTTAAGGCACTAGCATTGGGCCTCTGCCGCTTACTAGCTGGGTAGCTAGGGGAGTAATTTAACCTCTGTGCCTTTTACACAAGTTTCCTCTTCTGTAAAATGGGCATATTAATACCTGGCTGACTAGTGGCAGTGATTGAGTTAAGGTACATAAAGCGTTTGGAAGTGTAGCCAGCCCAGAAATAACCTAGAAGTGTCACCACCTGCATGAGAGTGAGGGACTACAGCGGCCCTGTGAATTGAGGGAGGAGGGCCCTTTCCAGCCTGGCCAGGTATCCGGGCCGCCCGCACCACCACCCCCCCCCGGAGAGTAGAGTAGGGGCGGGAGGGCGGTCCAGGTTTCCCTGTCTGTGCTGTCTGGGAGCCTGCCATGGGCAGGGCTGGGAAAAGAATTCCCCTCCAGGCCTACTGGGCCCATCTCCCCGTTTTGTCCCTCCGAGATTCTGTTTCCTTTAGGTGTTTATCACTGCTTTTTCTCTGTTTCTTTGTGTGAATCTCTCCATCCCGCTTCTCACTCTGAATTTGTCTCTCTGAGACGGTCTCTCACGGTGTTTTCTGTCTCCCCACCTCCCCTCTCTCGGTGTGTTTCTTCCTGTATATGTCTCTCTGAGTCTCTCCCTGTGCGTGTCTCTCTCTGTCTCTCTTTCTGTGTCTCCCTCTCCGTGTCTGTCCGTCTGTCTCGCACGCACGCACGCACGCGCACCCTGTCTGTCGTCTGTCTGTTCCCTTGTCAATTCCCCCTCGAGCCCTGCCCCACCTCCGCCTCAGTCTCCACTCTTGAAAACTGGGCCGACACCCCGCACCCCACGCCCTCCCCGGCTGGGGACCGGGCGGAAGGGGACTAGTCTAGGGCTGGCGCGGAGAGCGCCGGGGGCGCGCGT